GTATCAGGTAAAAAAAAATAGAACATGTAAAATGAATAGATAGTCATTAATTAACTGCCCTTAGGGTAATTCTAATTTTTTTTTTGGCTCAACATCTTCATGTCCAATTTAAAACAGGGAGACAGGGAGATAGAGAGAGAGAGAGAGAGAGAGAGAGAGAGAGAGAGAGAGAGAGAGCGAGAGAGAGAGAGAGAGAGAGATAGAGCGAGAAATAGATAGAGTAAATAGACAGATAGATAGACAGATAGAGAAAGAGAGCAGAAAGAGAGAAATAGCGATATATCACAATACCCCATCACCCAGTGAGTAATCTAACTCCTTTGAATGACATAACGATGAATGTTATTGCTTCTCCTCTTTCCCAGGGACCCCCAGGAGATGATGGACCCCAGGGACCCGCTGGAGACACTGGACTGCAAGGACTTCCCGGACCCCAGGGAGGCCGCGGAAACGATGGACGCCCCGGAGACCCAGGACAGGCTGGACCCCAGGGAGAGTCTGGACCCCCAGGAGCTTCTGTAAGTCCCATAAGTTAGAGTAAACTATATTAGGAGTTCCACAAAACTAAACCTGGAGATAAGACAAATCGCTACACTAGCATTACAAAGTTCTACCTGTTTAGTATCTAGTTTTGAGCAATCTGACGTTAAAAATTTGAGTCTCAAAATTTGTCAAGCTTTTTTCGAAACAATTTTTAAAATATCTTGACGACTTCGGATAATCTTACGATTTTGATAGACTAGATAGAACATTTGGTTTCTGGCCTCATGGTCCTCATCTTTTTCCTTTTATGTCTAAAAGTCTGGTACATACTTTTTCTTCTGTGTTTAAGACTCTTGTATATCAATTTTACTTTTTGTCTTGTATATTTTTTCATTTATGATTTGACGAACCTGTATCTTTTCCCTTTCAAGTTTGTGATCTTACATCTGTGATTTTTTTTTGCCTCGCAGGGAGAGCAAGGATTCCCCGGTGAGGGAGGACCCCCAGGAGCCCGTGGTGCCCCCGGAGAGAGAGGACCCGGAGGACCCCCAGGAGAGGGCGGACCCGCTGTGAGTACTGACAGACTGGACAAACACACTCACGCACATATACAAGCACGCTCGCAGATTCACTCACTCTAACTTACGAATACTCAGTCGCACAAATTGTACTCACTCGGGCAAATATCTCCTTACACAAGTACTCACTCTCAAATACACAGATACTTAAACAAATGCTCGGTCAAAAAATACTCTCTCTCTCTCGCTCTCTCTCTCTTTCTCTCTCTTTTTCTCTCGCTCTCTCTCTTCCAGTCTTTCTCTCTCTTCCTCCCACTTACTCACACACACACA